CATTTAGAATATTATACCACTGCACATATAATAACAATTTTCTTGTGTGCTCACTGGCCAAAATAACACTTTTACATACCATGTTTTATTTATTCAGCTTTAGGGGAGAGTAGGAAATCAAACGAATGGTGATCACATTTTATGCTAATGTATGCATAGATTTCATGATGCCAGTTGACCACAGTCGTCATGTATGTTAGTTGCGCGTGGAAAAGGTGAGGCGCAGTTTTATATATGCCACTCAGCGCGTACGCGCAAATCAGATTTTAGCGTGACATTCTAATCATATTCTTCGCGCAAACCAGACTTGCGTGTGGCAATAAAATACAAGTTAGAACAAAGGAAATGTACGCGAAAATGAAATGAAAGCACAAATGATCCAGAAAGACATAGAAATCAACATAGTATAAAATATGATCGCATGATTATGTGAATATACATCATGCATAGTCTAAGAAAATGTTTACAAAGATTAATGTTTCGCAGACCATAATCACGCAAAGTATAAATTAAAAGAGTTTTAATACTTTGGTGAGAAAACTACAAGCCTGAATGCTTTGATACTTGGTGTATATGTACCTTGGGTAGACCTCTCCTAGATTATTCATTTCATGATGATATCTTTAATTCTCTAATTTTGTTGAATATTTTTGTCATTTATGGTAAAAAGTGATATTTTCGACTTCTTGTTAAAATCCGCAAGCTCGATTTCTTTGATATTATATATATATAGGTACTATATGTGGATCTCTCTCAGATTTGTTCATTTCATGATGATACATTCAATTCTCTAATTTTGGTGAATATTTTTGTCATTTTTTGTAAAAAGTGATATTTTCGTCTTCTTGTTGAAAAAAGCAAGTCTGATTGCTTTGATACTATACATATTGTTCATTTTCTAATGATACATGTATCTTCAGTTCTTCAATTGAAATGTGTATTGCTAACAGCAGAGCTATCTCAGCTGACAGGCCGCTTGTTTTAAAATGCTAATTCTGTGACTAATATGATGTCCCTCCCCTTTACCGCAGTTGGAGTTTGAACTTGGAAAATTGGCATCATATGACGAGAGTTATATTTGGAAATCCTGCTCTGTATGGTGGCACGAATGAGCTCAACACCGTGAATCAGGACTAGTTTGGATTTCCATTATCAAATATAAAATTTTGAACTTGGTAAATTAGCATATGATGAGAATTATATTTGGAAATCCTACTCTGTATGGTGGCACAAAGGAACTCATCAACACCGTAAGTATAAACTATAGTTTTGGATTTCCATTACTGTATGGTGAAGGGTGATTTGGAAATACAACTTTGTATGACTTATACACCCATGGAAATTATACCCTGTATGAACTAAACACACAAACTCATCAACAGGGGGGTGCAGATATAAACTGGAATGGCCCAATTGCAATTTATGTTTTATGCAGGTCACCTTCAGCACCATAAATGAGGTTTGTCAATCAGTGATGGTGCTGAATTTTGTGTTCATATTTGATACCCACACATAAGCGATGCTACAAGATACATTATATAATATATAAGTAAAAATGCAAGCTAACAAGCCACACCAATCTAGTGACTGCTGTGTTATATAAGAATCTGTACACATACCCACCATGTCATACACAGTTATATGCAATTTTAATTCTTGTTCCCCATGATTCTGGGAGGCAAGATTTACCATTATGGTTAGTTAATATGTACCCCTTTAATTTGTAAAGTCGATTCAAAATGGATGACTGGCGTTTATTTTAATTTTTACCGACTCTTCGACCGGCGTTCCACAGTAGCTTGCACAAGGCCCATAGAAATACATGGTACGGTGGTGTGCGTCTTAGCAACATGGAACGTCTTGCGACGTAACTCTTCCCGAGGTTATGTGCAATTCTTGAAGCAATAATATAGCAATGTAAACAAATATTTATTATGCACAGATATAGGAGATAAATTATCCACAGATACATTGTATGTATAGATTTTAGATTATGTGCTTTGGTCATTTTATGAGTCACAATGAATATGAACAGAGACCTTTATGCTAATAATTTGTGCAATGCTGTTGACATTTGTGTTGTTTTGTTTTTTTTTTGCTGTAAACATGATGTCATTCATTCCCATATACACATATCTCCATATATTCTAGGTCACACTCCAAAACTACCTATTTAACTACTTATCTGATTCTACTAGAAATGTAATAATTAACCCACAAATATGTGTGCATACTGAAATTTATTTTTACTATTTTCACTGATATGTGAATAAAACTCAATTAAGTACATATGTACCTGAAATCTTGATTACTGCAGATACATGTACATTGACCATACTGCTTGGGCAATAATTGTTTAGTCAATTTTAATTTAAATGTTTTTACTAATGTATAAAGCGCTTATAATTAAATGTATGTGTAGATAAAATTTTGATTGCTGCAGATTGAACATTGACCATACTACATAAGCAATAACTGTTTATCACTGATAACTAAAAACCTCTTGGGATTAGTTGAAATCTTAGGAGCGAGTTGAATTACAATAAAATTACTGACTTGATCACTGTTCAAAAAGTCTTCTGATACAATTTTGTTTTCTTAGTTTTGTGCAAGCATTTTGATTGGTTTAATCGTTAATTGAGTGTCAATCAAATGGCCACATTCTTTTTCTGAATGCCGAGCCTATATATCAAACCTGCTAGAGCATAGAGTAGTGTGCCAAGCAACAACACTTCTGGGCTAGTTATCTCCAGACTGTATATGAAGTATGATTGTTTGTCTCTTCAGTCACAGGTCAAAAATACAGGTTTATTGGTCACATCATCTTGCTTTCAAAATGTCTATTTATATTTTTTACAGTTGCAGTATTCTTAAGCAACAACAGAACTGGAACATACAAAAATTAGGAAGTGTGTTATTCTGTAAAGTAGTGAAAATGGTAAATATTTATAAAATATGGGCTGTGAACACGGTGAGAAGTGCCTTTCTCCAACCATTTTAAGACAATTTCATGAATATGGAAATATATCAGTGTGACCAATGTGAGAAGAGTTGTAGCCAGTCAAGTACTCCTAAACAGCATGTGCAAACACATACCAATGAGAAGCCACATTGATGTAAGCAATGCAAGAAGCATTTTATCACCTCAGGTCATCTCAAACAGCATATGCAAACACATACCAATGAGAAGCCTTATCATTGTGTGCAGTGTGAGAAGAGTTTCACCCGGTCATGTACTCTCAAACGGCATATGCGAACACATACCAATGAGAAGCCTTATCATTGTGTGCAGTGTGAGAAGAGTTTCACCCGGTCATGTAATCTCAAACTGCATATGCGAACACATACCAATGAGAAGCCTTATCATTGTCAGCAATGTCAGAAGAGTTTCACCCAGTCATGTACTCTCAAACGGCATATGAAAACACATACCAATGAGAAGCTTTATCATTGTGTGCAGTGTGAGAAGAGTTTCACCCGGTCAAGTCATCTCAAACAGCATATGCGAACACATTCCAATGAGAAGCCTTATCACTGTGAGCAATGTGAGAAGAGTTTCACTCAGTCAAGTACTCTCAAACAGCATATGCGAACAAATACCAATGGAAAGCCTTCATCATTGTCAGCAATGTGAGAAGAGTTTCACTCATTCAAGTAATGTCAAAGTGCATATGCGAACACATGCCAATAACAAGTCTTCCCAAGAGAACTGCTCTTCATACAATAACATAAAAAAGAGACATCCAACTAAACTTGGAAATTTTACTTTTATACCGGTAGATTCAAATAATCCAAATGTTACTGTAATACCTAATTCAGTAAGTCAGTTTTACTGTCATCAGTGTGAATGTATATATAGTCAATTAACCAGTCAAAGACATTTATTAATTATTCATAGAGAGGAGAAATATACATATAGATGGGAAACAATGAATGATAAAAAACAGTTAACTGTTACGTGTAACGGATATGATGAGCATTTAAGCGACGAGGAGCAGAAACAATTGTTTATTGTGCATGCTGTTTTCATTGTTGAGAAGAAGAGTCATGATGCTGTGAAAGAATTCAGATTATACAGCCATGGCTGATACATTCTGAAGTGTAATCTCATTCAATCAACTTATTACAGTGCATAAACTGAAATTAATTTTCTTTCGAAAAAGCACCATAATTATTTTGGCAGACGTTTGTAGTTCCTGTGAAGTGCAGAGTATTTATTTTGAGTAAGCATCAAAATGATTCGATTTAAGTTGCATATAATTTAGTTAATATCACTTTTTGAAAGTGAGAAAAAAATTGTAATTGTGGGTGTTGTTTTCCTGGAAAGCTTTTCATGCAAAGAAGAACCCCAACATTTTGACCATTCGTATTAAAATCTTCCAATAAATCATGTCGATGTTGTAACAGTTGTAAATACATATCTAATGAGAATCCTAATCCTAATCAAGTACTGTATACTCCTATGCTCTGAAATGTATTGGATATATATAACAGAACATTTTCACTTGCAATTTATATAGGACTAAGACTTTCAGTGGAAATTGCTACATAACATTTTATGTACAATGAGAAGTTGTACAAACCAACGCCAAAAGATACAAAGCAAATTTGTGTGCATACAATATATGGTGGAGAGGTTGATTGAATGTCCTCGTACCAAATTCTTCTCTGAAACATTTTTTAGTAGGTGGAGCAGGCATATTGACCAAATAGTGACTCTGTTAAGACTTCTCAATATTGATTATCAATATTTTCTCGTATGTAGAAAGAAATGTATATCTGACTGTAGAAACAATAAACAACTTTCTTTTCTATCACACAATTCGATCAAAATATTCAGTTTATGTAATTTATAATAGCAAATAAAATGTTCAATTACAAACTCTCACATCTGCCTCTCGGACTTTTGACAATAAAATTCAAACGTTTACTCTGCCCACACTCATCGAGTTTCAATCTGATACAGACATATGTTAACATGATTCCCATATTCACACCAGAGATTTGTCAAATCCATTGAAGACATTTTATTCACCATTTTGTAAGGTATTTAGACTATGATGAAGATTTAGTTTTATTGAAAAGGAAGTTGTATTTCAGCTATTTTGTGATTATGCAACTGAAAGAACACCAACGAATTATATAGTTCACAACAATTTTCCACAAATATTTTTGTATTATCATGAATGTTTTTGTAATACCTAAAATATATAACAATCACATATAGCATTTTAAAGATCTGTGACATGGATGGATTTTGTTCAAACATGGTATATACATTAGAAATTATGGGTCTCTGATGTACGTCATTTTGTTTTTGAGATCGGATTAGAAATGGCTCACTGGTGGCCATTTTATTAATGAAATCTCTGACGTGCTTTGACTGATTATGTTTAAATTGTCTATATTCATTATACATCATGTCATAGATATGCAGATGTTTCGGTTTGATGATCCAATTCAAAATGGCCGAATTGTGATCCTTTTGTTTTAATTAATGATGTTCCAGCGCAGTATCTCTCAATATGGACAAGTATTGTACTATGGTAGTATAAATAAAACTGCACAATTTAGATTTGAATACTAACAGGAACTGTGCCATGCATTGCTTGCTTGTTTGTGGTTTAATTTAATCACCTTTGCCTATCCAGTGGATTAAATCCTTTTTCTTCATGGAGAGAACAATCCATACAGATCTCCATTTGACTCTTCCTAAGATATATAGATTCATCCACATTTCTACACATGACGCAATCACCAATATCACATACACGTTGTATCATTCGAAAAATTATTTGTTTCATCGTGGATCTAAAGAATATCAGATACTGTTCAATCGTTAGGAAATAAAAGATTCCACTCATTGGCATTTAACAATAAAGTTAAAGAAAATACTATAAATGAAAATGTAGAAAACACTATTTCGTTTAAATCCTGTTTATGATTTCGCTTATGATAATACAACTATATAATTTGTGATGTGTTGATTTGAATGTGAATTGAAATTGTTATACGTTATCAAATTTGCCGTTTATTGAATTTTTAGCTCCGCTGTCGACTTTGTCGAGCGGAGCTTATCATATGAGTGATTGTCCGGCGGTGTCCGGCGTCCGTGTCAATATTTTACTTTTTCGACTTCTTCTTGAAAACTACAAGCCTGAATGCTTTGATACTTGGTGTATATGTACCTTGGGTAGACCTCTCTTAGATTTGTTTATTTCATGTTGATATCTTCAATTCTCTAATTTTGGTGAATATTTTTGTCATTTTTGGTAAAAAGTGATATTTTCAACTTCTTGTTGAAAACAGCAAGTCTGATTGCTTTGATACTATACATATTGTTCATTTTCTAATGATACATGTATCTTCAGTTCTTCAATTGAAATGTGTATTGCTAACAGCAGAGCTATCTCAGCTGACAGGCCGCTTGTTTAAAAAGTCCAATTGCTTTGATATTACATATATAGGTACTACATGTCGACCTCTCTCAAATTTGTTCATTTTGTAATGATATCTTTAATTCTCTAACTTTGGTAAATAATTTTGTCATTTTTGGTAAAAAGTGATATTTTCTTCTTGTTAAAAACAACAATCATTTATGTTAAAAAATATATTTTTGAATTCTTGTTGAAAACAGCAAGTCCCATTGCATTGATACTGTGCATATTATTCATTTTCTAATGATATATTCTGTTCTTTAATTGAAATGTGCATTGCTAACAGCGGAGCTATCTCAGCCGAGAGGCTGCTTGTTTTATATTGTCTTTGTTAAATAAATTATATTTTAACACGGTGCATCTTCTACTACATGACATTTAGAACACATTCTGTCTTTTTTCTATTGCTGGTTTATGGTGTAAACAGACATTTTCAATTGTTTATTGCTCCACGGTCCTTAATTAATTTGTCATCATATTTGGATTGTTCTTAATTTGTTTTACATCCATTCATGTGAAATCCATTCATTCCTACAAATCAGGACAAAAATACCAATCTTTCACAAAAGCCGGGGTATTTGAAACCGAAATTGTCATCTAAGCGTAAGGCCGTCGCTGATTGGCTGCTGAGGTGGAATGCCAATTTTTAGTTTCAAATACCCCAAGAAAGTGTTCTAGGTTCTTGTGTAATTAGGTGTTCGTCTGCAAGGGATTTTTCCACACAAAAACGACGAATTCGGCCGAATTTTGTTATTGGTTGGCTTAATATAACCCCAGCGAACCGTATTTTTGTGAAAGATTTGTATTTTTGTCCTGATTCGTAGGAATCTGAAAAACGCGTTTCACAACTTGTCTCTTATTTAGTTGTATGCATCATTCAAGATAGCGGCCCCCATATAGTAAATATCGTATTTATTTTATTATCACGTGTGCGCCAGCTGACTGTGGTACCAGTCGCCTTTTTGTGTACGCCAGAAGGTGGGTGTCAAGTTTCATCAAGACCAAAAAACTACAGTAGTAAATTAGATCACTGAAACACAAATGTTCAAGGATACCTGAACCATGGCTAGGCTATTCCAGTGTAGAATGATTGACAATTGCAGATTTTTCTGCGTTATTGCTGATATGGGGGAGAATCATTTTGCATATTGCCTAAATTCAGTCAACATTGGTAAATACCGACGGGCAGGTGAAGATTGTGCGAGTAATTTTGACCACGTACCATCTAGATCCATCGATGTGGCCGAGGTGCGGATGGTGGGTTATTATGATTCATTCAAATAAAAAAGCGGCTGGAGCTGATGGCAATTTTACAGACCATATTAAATACGCTAGTGAGAGATTGCAAATATTATCCTTGTATTTGGCATCTATGGTTATGCACGACTATTTACTAAAAGAGTTACTCGATACGCTTATTGTACCTATTGTAAAAGACAGTTCTTGTGACATTACCTCGAAATGCTTTGTCAAAGTTGTTGATTTGTTTGGAACGATCAGATTACCACAAATGACTTTCAATTTGGTTTTAAGGCTGAACATTGTATGTGTATTTATGTTGTTAAAGAAATTATTGAACACTATAAACCCTATGACACTCCGAGTCTTATGGACGCATCATCTAAGGCATTTGTCCGTGTTAATGTTGGTTCCTTTTTAAAAAGTTAAACTCAATAGTATACACTAAACATGTATTTTATGCAGATATTGGCGTCGCCTTGTCTGCTATATCGTAGCTATTGCTTGAATTTGTAGTATTCGAATGCTTAAATTGTTCACTGTGGTAAATGGCCGTTGTGGTGAACTACTTGACATATAACGTGTTTTGTGTACATTGATAGTGAGCTGGTTTGCGCTACACCATTCACAGACTCTCTGAAAAATCATCATTAATATGCGAGAAGCTAATAGTGTTATTTTGAATAGACCAGAAAAGAGTAGTGTCATCAGCAAATAAACGCACACCAAAAGCATTGGTACAATTGACAATATCATTAATGTTGATTAAGAATGAAATAGGGCCACGAATCGATCGTCGTGGAACACCGCATTTCATATTATTGTATAAGGAGAGGAAATTATTAATTTGGAGACAATGCTGGCGATCTGATAGGTAATTTTTGAACCACTGTAGCGAGAGACCCCTAATACCACAATTATCCAA